AATTTTCCTGGAATTTTCAAAAAAGTTTTTGCGTTTTTCATTTTATTTCAGTCAATTTTCAAATTTTTTCAAAAATAAAAATGAGAAAATGTGGAAAACACCATGGTGCTGCTGATGATGTTTTAAAAATTAAGTTATTTTGAGAATTGAATTTTTCCCAAATTTTTTAAGTTGGCAAAATGGGAAACAGAATTTTCAAAAATGTCCGTTTTTTTGTGTTTAGCTCATGATAACTTTTGTTTCACTAATTCAATGGTAATCATAATTTAGGACTGAATGCGCATGGATGTTTTGCTAATTTATGTATTTTTTTGATGGATCAAAATGAAAAATTTGAAAAGCTAAAATTACAAATGTAAAAGTGTTTTTTTTACGATTTATCCCTGTTTTTGAAAAATGTTTTGCGCTTTTCACTGTAACTTTGTGAATTTTCAAGCTTTTTCAAACTTTAAAAAAAGGAAATGTAGGAAACATCATGGCGCTGCTTATACTGTTTTCAAAATGAACTTTGCTATAAAATTGAATTTTTGCCAAATTTTGAAAGGCAAGACGACGGGAAACGGGACCCTCCTGCAGGCCTCTCTGGGGGCTCTGTGGGAGGGAGTTTGGATTTTGTAAAAGGTCCTATGGAAAAAGTAAGAGAGTTGTAGTCCCACACACGGCCGTTCGCAAGTAACTTTATTAGGTAAGATTAAATTATTTCCAAAACCGAAGCATCCAGGTAAATGTAGTCAACACAGCAGAAGCCCGTGATTGAATAAAATTTCGACTTAAATTACTCATGAGTGAACTGCTTTTGGCCAAACTCGGCCAAAACCTACGCAAGTGTTGGTCGTGCTACTCTTATCCGTGTTCTTATTGCTGTTCTTAGGGCCGTTCCTACTCACACTGTTTACCAGCAGTGGATTTCGCCGCTAAGACTTTCACTTGTGCGATCCACGTTTTCGGGCGCGATTCCGAGACTTCAATCTGCGGAATGAACGGATTTTGCCGCGCTACTTCGCACGTCCGACAATCCTCGCGTTCCGGCGGACACACGTGATTAGGAGGGCTTTCCTCCATCACTCACTTCTACAACAAAATACACTACCTGCGATGAAAAAAACAATAATTCAGCATAAGGTACTGAAGTAATTTCGAAAAAGCTGACGAAAATTTTTCGAAGAAATGTCAACTGAGTCAGGAATTTTTTTTTTACCAATTCAAGGTGAAAAACTCCAGTTAAGCTTCGAAGTTCGGGAGAAAACTGAACTAATGATCTGAAATGTTAAATGTGTACCCTTGCTCAAGGAAACACACCCTTTACAAAGTTTGTATAGTAATCCCGATTTATACAGGCAAACAAGAAAAAAAGTGAAAAATTTTACAAGCTTTCGTCGAATGGAAAATGAGTTGATTTTAATTCAAAGTACTGTATCAATAAACGTTCATGTTTGTAATTGATTCGGCGCGCCTTAAAAAATTAATAAAAGTGATGAAAAATATAAATAAGTGTTCTTTTTCTTAATTTCGCGAATCTTCCAATATTTAGTGGGTAACCAGTCAAGCGAAGTCAATTGTTCTGACTACTGTATTTTCTCGCAATTTTTTTCTTTTACAAAGAAGGATAAATGGAAAAATCCAGTCGGGGCAGAATGAAGCGGACAAGTAAAAATTTTGTGTATCTTAAATGAAAGGACTCAAATTCGCCAATCTGTTAAAAACCTTCTTGCTTGACTTCGGAATTCGGTAAAATGTGGTCAAAATTTTCCTGACACAGCGCATTTTACATGACTACATGAAATAGCACAAGATACATGGCAACGTAATGGTCGTGTTGCGGGGGTGTATTTCAGCAAAAATTCCAAATCGCCGATGGCAGCTAGTTCCCGCTAACCGGGCCAACATGAACGATGTGCAAACGCACTCAATGGAGATGAAATGCTCCAAACTTTCCTCAGTGAGTTTTCAACCAGGAAATCATCACACAAAAACCCCAATGCCTATCGCTACACTTTTTCGCCTGATGACACGCATGTAACGAAGTACAGCATTTTCAGTTCGAAAAATGTTCCTCTAGTTCAGCCAGGCTCGTATTTCCATTACTGCACTCGAGACAAAAGTCCATAATGTTAGCACAACATACACAAACTTCGATGCAAATATAAATCGTGCACGAGAAAAAAGGCCGATCTTTCCACCAAACTCGGACGCACAACTGTTTCAGGAAGTAGAAACTTATGAATGACACGATATAACATTGAAAGTCTCATCTGAAGAAACTTGAAACTGCATCGAGAAGAGTGCGAGAGACTTACATTTTTGTATTGATTTTTTTCCTGACACAAAAAACCACCTACAGTAAAGTAGATTAAAATTTGAGGAATTGAATTTCTGATGTCGGCAGGATTTTTCTTTATTCAACTAAACAATACCTTTGCTATGTTATAAAATTCGAGGGAAACTTAATTTAGCACGCATTCCTCCCAGTGGATCCTTCGAATATTTAAAAATGAAGTTGACGAAGTCGAAGATTGAGTGAACAACAAGACATCTGTTGGCGAAATCTTCAACAATCCAAGAAGTTCGCAGCCATGAGAAGCTCAAGCGCGATTTCTGGCGCAATCGGGAACTCCGGGATTTCGGTGGAGCTGTTGGTGTACTTCACCTTGTACGTGAAATAGATGCACACTTTCTGCAGCACGTGACTCGGGATTTCGCGGAAGTGGATCTCGTTCGTCTCATGTTCGGAAAACTGGCCAGGGCCACTCAACATAGCCTTAATTGTTCCAGAGGTCAGAGCGTGTTCTCGCTTCACTATGAACTCGTGCCCGTCGGACGAAATGAGCTTCACGTACATGGCATCCGGGCCTTCGCAGCCTCCGTACACCTTCTCGGATTCCTCATCTCCAGTCATTGTCATTTTACAAGTCAGGATTCGAGAAACGAGAAAACACTGCACCAAACACAAATTCCCTGAGAAAGAAAAATAATAATGAATGAATTATTCGTTTACGGTGAACAAATCCTCTGCCGGTACAGTTGAGTATAAATGCCAGAACAGCGAATGTACATGAAAAAAAGCAGAACAGTCAATAAAAGTACCAACGATAGAAATTGAAAGACTTCAAGCGTTCTTGAAAATACTTCTGTCTTCCTTTTGGACAATAAACCATAATTGCACCCAAGCCTCTTTCATTCAAATCAATATTACATCAGCCAAACAATGAAATGAAGCAGCGGTGCCAAAAAAATTATTTTCCATTGACATTTCGCGAAGTATACATGCCCTTGAAATTTGAGAAAACGAAAACCGAGTGTCCACTTGATATTATCTTGTTAGGGACAGTATTTATATCATTTTATAAGACGAAACACATATGGTTGAATTCTAGATTAATATCAAGACACTTCAGAAACTTCCATTGAAGCACGAAGACAAACAGACGCTGTTTTACACGATAAATTTTGAGACCTATCCTGAAGAAAATACATCAGCACCATCAAGTCCCAAAGCTATTTCCATAAAACATCTGTTCCAGGCATTCGCTGTTCTGGACAAATGCAGAACTGACCGGCAACGCTTCGATCAATTCATTCAGTCAAGGACGGATATTTATTCCCTCATCACTCTGAGAACTTCCCATAAGTTGACTAGAATCAGAAACAGAGATCACATTTTTCCTTTCGCGCGTGAACACTTCAAGTTTCTGTGCGTTTAACACTTAAATGACGAGATCGTAGCATCACGATAAAGTTGCCAATGTTTGAAAAATACGTAATTTCAATCGAAAACTTCCATTTCCCGCTCAGCGAGATCAAAATCTGGTTCGGTGTCCAAATCCGCAGGATCTTCCGGTGGCGGCTTTTTCGAGTTTCTTCTGGAACCTGCGCCAACAGGTACTTTTGGTACGGCAGGTTCAGGTTTAATTCCCATTGCCAACGGATTCGATCCCTTTTGCGTAGAACTTCCCCTGGCTCGGTCAAGTTCTTTTTGGAATTCCATTTCAACTTTGTTCCTGATGTCATTCCAATCAATTTTTACCTGAAAAACATGAACTAGACGTGATTAATGAAATTCTAGCTTCATCAAAAATGTTCAACTCACATTCTGCGAGAACTGCTCGAACTTCTTGTTAGTTTCTTGACGTTCGAAACGATCCAAATACCTCTTCCGATAACCCAGGACTGTGTCTAGGTGAGTCTTGTGCTTCACTGCTAGGTCAAGTGCCCTAAAACACGAAAGACATTTTTTACTGCAATAAGAAACTCAGATGAACAAGGGACTAAATTTCCTAGATTAAAAATTATAACAGTGGATTGAAACTAAGCAAAAAACAATTTTAATACGAAGAGGGTAGTAAAGCAGACCGATTTTCGCACAATAATCCTCTGGAATGGTTAAAACTTGGAAAAAAGTGGTCACATTTGAATAGATTGTCACCTTTCAATGATCTTCAAGATATTCGCTCGAAACACTGCGGAGACTTTAAAAGGAAAATTTTCCTGCTTATTGGTGTCATACCGAGTCTCAACTTTAAGGTATTTCTCAAATATTCTTTCCCTGTCATCACGACACACCAGCGAATACAAAAAACTCATTTGCTGCCATGGTAAGATAAATTATTTAAAGAGAAGAAAATTCAGTACGTGGTTCTGGAATATTTGAATAAAGAGTCGTAAAAAATGTACCTCTCCCAATGAAACAGCTGCAGATGCATCATGATAGCCCGAAAAACCAAGCCATTTTGAAGCAGAATTCCTTCAGCGTCCTTCACGTTTCCAGCAAGCAAGGCCATTTCCGCAGCTCGAACTTCTCTCAACGGGATTTCTTTTATATATTTTATATAATTCACTTTGTCAGCTTCATCAATCGCAGCATAAGCTACTTCGGCGGTCGTCAAGTCCTTGGCATTCGTCGCCATAGCCGCCAAACACGCCCATAAAGTCTCATCCTAGAAATGAAGTGATGTGCTGTACATACAATGAGGCAGAGGGAAAAATTGTTCAAGGAATTCTTGTTCAGTTTTCATTATTCGAATGTTTCAAAGGTGCGCAAAGCCATCTCAATATTAAGACTGCAAGGTGTTTTAATATACATTATACCTCAGTGAACAACACTTGACGAAACGAACCTTGACAAAACGGCACAGACGAACTGCAGCTTCCCATTTCCCAGTCAAAGAATATTCGTGCAAAACCAGGGCGTACGGGGGAACCAAGGAATGAATCAAAGCGCCATCAGATCTTCTCACAACAACCTGGTCTCCAGCGAAACTGACCAGATGCGGATTCTTCCCGAACTCCCTGTTCAGTAAAACCACGCACAAAGTCTATCAGTGCGGAAACGAGTTTCAAAAAGTTACTGTGGAGTAGTAGAACAGATTCAAGTAACATTTTACGTTCGACATTGCCACTTAAATTGCAGCAAATGTTGAGAAATATCTTTCACGCGACTTGAGAATACATCTGAGCACTAAGAAGTCTATATTAAAGAAAAATTCTTGAGGGTGGAACATCATCCGTTGAAGTGTTCACGTAACAACTGCATTCTTATATGAATGTCTTGTTGCACAGTCCATCAAAATTACCGCCTAAATATTCAACGGGATTTATTTTTTACTTCAAAGAATTACAACGAATAATTTTTGAATACTGAATATGTTCACAAAAATTACGGAAAATTGTGAATTATCTGATGAAAATACTGATAGCAAAAAGACCTTACCCAACTTGCCGGTCAAACTGAGTCTTCGGTAGCAAAAGGAATAGTTGTATGTGGCGTAAGCCCATTATGGTTTAGCAGTCAAAGGGTAATACGTTGTGGCGTTCGTATAAGTGGCTTAGAAAGGTCGTCTAGCTGACATAGTATAACGGATATTAAAGTTTGGGTTAGCTAACAAAAATTCCAGGAACACTCAAATCAAGGTTAGAACCTCACCCAGTTTAGCAACTCTGAAGTTATTCGGAGGTTCTTTGCGGGTGAAGCACAGAAAAAGGTCTCTGTTGCGGTCCACAAATGCACACCGACGATCGGCCACCGAGCCACCTTGGTTTAGAGCGACTTCCATGACTTCGGTGGTATGGGCAAATGGTTTCTGATCATTCAGAGCCTTTCCAGAAGCCGCGTCAAAAAACAGGATATCTGGAGTAAAAAAAGGAAAAAATTGAAGAACCGATTGAAAAACCTAGTACAATACTGTATTTTAGATGTGTGTCAAATTTTGGGTGACATGATCGTACGGGAGCAGCCCAGACGTCGATAAATTCGGGAAGACTCAATTTGAACCAAGTCAATTTATGTGAGACAGTCAATAGTAAAATTCACTGAAAGTTTTCATTGTTGCACCTTCCCCGATGCGCAATGTATGTGATTTTTATTTTATTTTTTCGACTTTTGCGATGCGATGTAACTGATGCAAAACTCACGTTTCTCGTCATTCTTTTCTCGGACGGCAATGGTATCATTAGACAAGGAAAGTGTTTTCGCATTCAATAAATCCGGACGCAGTCCCGGCCATTTCGGATTCGTCACCAGCTTTCCGTCATATGCATGAACGTACAAATTGGCTCCATCAGCAAGCAAGAACACTCTAGGAAAACCAAAACGAAAAAAAAAAAAAAACTGTTTGCACAGCCCTTTATCTCGGTAGAAGTGACTCACTTCTCAGCTTGCAGAATGAGTCGGTGCAAGCTAAGGGCCTCTAACTTTTACTGCCCTCATAAGGTTAAAAAGCAACACATATGATCCGTGACTAACCACCACTGATGGTGCTCTACAAGCTTGCGGTTCGAGTCGACTTATTGAGCCAGCTTCAGTTCGAGTTTCTCCCAGGATTCGTTCTGCACATTCCGAAGTGCAATTGTTTTTCTTCCAGTCAGAGTAGCTTCGTAATTTCGCCACTCCAAACGCCTACAAGAATAAAAACAAAACAAAACGCGCAATCAAACAATATCCTTTCATACT